ATTGATTAATATTTCTATCTAATTAATTTGAGATTATATTGTATAAATTATAACCTTCAAATATTCTTTTTATAAAGATTATATTGATATTAACAGCTTTTCAATAAATATTAATTAATCAACTATTTTATTAAAAAATAAAAAAAATTATTAAAATAAATACTAATAATAAATCAATTAGGTGAAATATAGTATAAAGACTTTTTATTAATTCTTCTAAATTTATAAAAACTATATAATTTATATATATATGCGAACTCCTTTTAGCATATGGTAGGCCCGAGGGCTTACTATTATGTACTTAATGAAGTCCTTTAGTTCATGACCGTGACAGATTTTTATTTATATAATATTCTTCAATTTCTTATAATATAAAAATAACAGTTTGTAATTTGCTTGTCTTATTAATAAATTGAATTTTAATATTAAAAATATTATATTTATTAAAAAAGATTTAAATATTATAAATAATAGAAATTTTTTAATAAAAAGAATATATTTCTTATTTCATTTTGAATTTATTTTTATTAAAATTTTGAATAATTTATTTTGAAATAGTATAATAAAAACTGGGAATTCAAATATTTGATTATTTATTGAAATAAATAAGAAAAGTTTAGAATTTGTTATATTTAAAAAGATTAAAGAATAAAAAATATTAAATAAAAAATCGAATTATAAAAATATTGAGAATTTAAGAATCAGTAATATAAAATTCAAACAAATTATTAAAATCTTTTTTTTTATTAATTATTCTTTTATATTTAAAAAAAGATTTATATATATTAATAAGAATTTATTTAATAATAATCTATATACACTAAAAACACTCTTTTCAAATTAAAATATTAATAATTTAATATATACCTTGAAAATGTATTAATATAATATAAGTATTATTTATTTCAAATATTTAATTCTATAATAATTACACCTCTATTTTATTTTATTCTTTTTAATAAAATAAACTATTTAAGAATCCTTATTTAACATATATTTTCAAACTCATACCCACTAATAACAAATTATTAATACTATAGAATTTATAAATATTTCGAATTTTTTAATATTAGATAATAATATAAATCATAAAATTAAAGAATTGAAATCGAAAAAATCATTTTATAAAAATTTAATAGATTTGATTTGAATAAAGATTTCGATAAAAAATAGAAATTAATTTGATTAAAAGTTTTCTTTACACAAAAAAAATCTATAAAACTTAAAATATTAAAAATATAAATAAAAAACATTTTAAAAAATTAAAAATAAAATAGAATAATAAAATGAATAATTATCTATATAAAATTGAGGGATTTTATATTATTAAATGATAATAAATTCAATAAAATCACTATTTTATCAATTATTTTTAGAATTTTCAAAATAATCAAATTGTGAAAATAATATTCTAATATCAATATTTATATTTAGAAATATCAAAAATATCAAAATACTCGATAATATTAATGATTTATTATTAATTAATAATAATTTAATTAAATATAGAATTTGATATTATTGAAATTTGAAAATAACCTCAAATTCGTGTATTTCGGCTTATTTTATATTAATCAGAAATCCATATTTCTATATTTTATTAATAATATTCAACATTAGAATAATATTAAATATTTCTAATAATATTATATAACGTGGTTTATCATCGAGTGGGTTATATCATTGAGTGGGCCACTTTTCCCTCAATTCAAACCTTCAAATCTATATTATTCAATAATTATTAAATCAATTAATTAAAACTAGTAAGATTCTAATAATTTAGAATTTATTATATTATTTTGATAAATTCTTATATTATATCTAGTTTTTCTAAATTTATTATAGTATTAATTAAAAGATACTTTTTTATTAGAATTCCTTTTTTTTTGATATTTATTATATTAAATCTAAATATTAATTTTTTATTAAAATAATATATTAAAAGCTTCTTATTTAATAAATACTTTTTTTTAATATAATTAAGTTTTTTATATATATCAATATTTACTTGATATTTTATTTATTATTTGAAATATATTAATCTTTATATTTAAAAGTATATTATTATAAATTAATCTCTTTATACTTTTAATTAGAATTAATATAATCTTAAATATAAATATAGGGGAATTTGATTAATAATAAGTTATTCAAGATTTAATTAATATTGATTGAAAAAAAGCTTTAATAAGATTATAAAGGGTTTAAAAGATTTATTGATTTAGATTGAAAAAAAGGGGAGTAAATATACAAATTCGAATATCCAATTTCGAAAATATAATTTTAAAATTAAATAGAATTAAACTTATTCTTTGAAATTCTGATTTTATATTCTGAAAAATGATTAATTCTTTATATATAATTTTAAAAGCTATAAAGAATTCAATTTTCAAAATATAATTAATATATATTTTAATAAATCTATTAATTTGATTACTATATAAATATTTCAGATTATTAAAATAGCTTACATTAAATAATTAAATTAAATGATTTAAATACAATAATAAATTTAAGTATATAATATTATTCTCTTTGTAATATACTTAAAAAGCTTTTAATTCATAATTTTTATATTTATCTAATATCAATATTCAATATCTACCTTTTCTTTGATTTTTAATATATTTATTGAAGTAACGTAGTTTAACACCGAATAGGCTATATCACTGAGTGAGCCATCATTTTTACATATAAAATTCGTTTGTGCGTAATTGTGCACTTTCTTTATTTATTAACAGAATTTTCTAAAAATTGAAATTAGAAAATTTAATTATATAAATAATATAAAAATCTAATTATTTATTGAAAATTCAAATTATTATAATAATTATTATAGAAATATTTCTTTTATAACAAAAATCATAACAATTTCTACTTTTTTTTTAGAAAATATAAGAAATTTTTATATCAAAAATAGATTTATAAAAAACTAAATTCTTATTATTATTTTATATTAATTTTCTTTTAAAAAATAATAATTAATTATTAAAATACAAATATTAAAAAAGCATTAATTTTAATGTATTTTGAAGTGGCCCATTCAGTGATATAGCCCACTCGGTGTTAAACTACGTTATTTCAATTATTCTAAATCTATTTTATTATTTATTTATTTATTAAATATAGATTTAACAATTTAATTCATAGGAATATCAATTTCAATATATTAATTAAAAAGATAAATTTATTCTTGAATTATTAGAAATAAGAATATAATTTTATTCTTTTTATTATTATATATAATTATTATAACTTATTTTCTATTACTTAATTATATTATTTTATTTTTATTATTTCATTTAATATTAATTATAGTTATTCCAGAGTATATTATATTTATTATAAAGCCTATTTTATTAAAATTATAGAAATCATTATCCAAAATACTATATTTCATTTGTATATTTGTAATTAATTAAAATCACTCTTCAATAAACTTAAAATCTTTACAAAAAACCTTTTAAAAATTATAAATATAACTAAAATATATTTTTAATTCAATTCAATATTTTATAAATCAATATATTTAAAGCTTTCTAATATACTTTATACCTTTCGATTTAAAAATATAATTTATCATATTTTCTATATTTTTTAATTTAAATAAAAAACCTCTCAAATTTATATCAAGAATATATTAAATAATCACTTTTTCTTTTAATTCTATAGTATTATAATAATTCATCTAAATTTTTATATAAAATAATAAATCATTTATTCTATATTAAAAAATTATATAAAGAATATTATACAGCTTAAAAGCTTTTTAAATACTTAGTTTTTTATTTTTATAAATAGCTTTGATAATAAGAAAAATTCAGGCTTTTTAATAAATTGCATATAGAAGTTGAAGATATGAATTGAGAGAAAAGTGGCCCACTCGATGATATAGCCCACTCGATGACAAACCACATTATGTATATATCTCGAAAAAATTTGATATGTATCACTAAACTAACCCATATACGGAATACGGGAAATACTAATGCCTACACTGGGGGACATTGTGCTTCTGCATGATTTTTATTTGCTGTTGGCTGGATTATCAAATTATTTGAATGAATAAATTACATGAAAACTGCATGTATGGACAAGAAATTTTAGAGGGTTGTGTCTCAATGTACATTTCGTAAGCAACTGTAAGAAAATATCAGATATAAGGACGATGGGTGTGCAAGCAACGTACAGATCCCAGCGTATTATTTCCTAAACAACCACCCAAGCTCCTCTGAAAGGGCTGAAAGGAAGACTTAAAGCCTGTTGAGTCTTGTGAAGGTCTTGATAGCTGCTATGGTCAGCGATCGAACTGCTACGGCCCTCATGAGTCCAGTTACTGAGGGCTTTAGCTTGGTGAGGTGGAGCTGCATGTGGCAGTACAAAGGGACAATTCGACTGTGCCCAGCAGATTACGATGTTGATATTGATAGGCCTACTAGGAGAACACATAACTTTTTGAAAAAGGGTAAAGACCTGTTGGTAAATTATTGACTATATTTAAGATCGTAGACATTAATTTAAGTCAACTAGTCACAACTACTTTGTAATACGAAGTCGAACAAAAAAACACATCATCACCCTGACAATTATTGCAGCGCTCTTCTGATACCCTGTAAAACACTATACCCCTATAGCACTAAGATCTGGTACTCCTATTCTAGCTTCCTCGATCTGAAGATTATTCTTCCCGACGTAACTAGCTCTCCCCAATACAGCATCCAATTTTCTTGTGATATCAACACCCTTCTTCGCCGCCACCACTGCCGCGCTGAAGTCCAGGTTTTCAGTATAAGCCTCAATAAACGGGATGAGGACGTCTATCACTGGACTTCAAAACGCGGCTATCTTTCCGTCCCTTCATTTTCCAGTGAAGCAGGTTTTGCGATCTAGCCCTGTGCCTTACGCATGGTGAAGGGTCCCAGGTACATCCGTTCCAAGGGAGCCGAAACAGGCTTGAATTGAACCCTACCACAATACGTTAGCTCGATATTCTAAGCATTATGTCTCACGATCTTGTCCAAAACCATAGTGCCAACGGTGGTTCCACGCTCCGGCATCCTTGCCCAAGCGAAGCAGACAAGGACCAGATCAGGGTGTCTTGTTTGCCGTCGATGCGGGAGGGACCTAAAAGAAGAGCTCGGAATTTCAAGGTAGCTTGGGGAGTCAAATCTCGTAGATCTAGCTAACCGGCTTGAAGATTGTGGATGTAACATCACAAGTTGAGAAAAGATCCCGGATAGACGATCACCCACAGATAAATCCAAGTCATACCCATGTAGCAATTAGCTACGAAAGTCCTTACAACAATAAATCTCTGGGGGAGAGTTTGGAACCTCTGGTCCCTGTAACTGACGAACCTTCCATGTACCATTCCCAATTGCATTCGGAGTATCCTTCACTCAACACTCCCAACTCAATGACCGTATCGTACCCTGACGATAGTTCTTTCAGAGAAGATAACGATCAATATATGGAAGTAGACGCCAGCCGGAGAAGTGAGTCATCTGTGTATCGCCGTCAAGATTCTCATGGTCAGTCGTATTCCGATGAAGATCATTGTATTAGCAACCTAGAAGCGGAACATATGACATCTCCTAATCATGACGTATCGAGCGATCGGACGGATCCCGAAGGTGCAGCTGCTGATCTTCTAGCACTATGGTATTTGCAGCAATCAAAGCCCGCTGTTGCTGAATCCCAGGTATCAAGGCCTCCTTCCGATAATAGAAGTATTCTTACTGATATCAATCAAGCACAGATGCTCGAGCATGGGGTCTTCGATAACCATCGGGATGGTATCTTCCTGACTGGCTCGGAGTTTCAGGAATATCACTCGACTTTGAGAGATCACTTGATCTTCACTGCGCGATCGAACTGCCCGACTCGCGTGGGCACCCCAGATTTACAAGAACCCGATTTTAGCTTCGCCGAGAGATCGTTTTCTGGAAATAAAGGGACAGACCTAGGCTCAGAATCAGCTGGGTACTCCAGGTCACCTGAGATCACACCACAGCGAGAATATATTCTGTGGAAAACCTGGATTGATGAGCTCGCTCCATGGGTATCATGGGATTTATCTTGTACTCCGCATTTTGACTAACTTGCTCTAGCTTGATAAATTCGACAACAAGCGCCACTTTGAACACAAGATACCTATAATGGCCAGGAAAATCCCCCATCTCAAGAACTCGATCTTAGCTTTATCTGCTCGCCAGATCGAAATGAAGGAAACCTCCGAGTCATCGCGGAAAGCTTAGCGCTGTATCAAGAAGCAATTCACCTTCTTCTGCCGGAGTTACAAAGCAGGGATACTGCTGTGATAGCATCCTGTGTTATATTGTGTGTACTGGAAATGATGAGTTGTAAGTCGTCGTAAACTAGGCGACAGCAGTTTTGACAATGATCAGGTTCTCCAAAAGAATGGAGGAGGCATCTGAAAGGATGTGCAAATTTACTGAAGGCTGTTGGAATCAATGGATTCGTCGGCCGGGTGGAGGAAGCTTTGTTCTGGTGCTTTGCTCGCATGGGTAGCGTATACCGCCACCATTTCTCGAAATCTAGCTAATTAGCGTAGATATTTGTGGTGCTTTGATCTCTCATGATATCACGCTTATTCCGGTAACACGTTGGGCATCAAATGTCGACTTCTCGTCTGACGTCAAGCTTTTCCAAAATCCAGACAATGATTTTGATACATACGCCAATTATGCAGTCTTTTTGTGCGCCAACTGCGTTGCATACCTCAAAGCCTGTAAAGAATGGGCTCCGGAAACACAAGATAGTCGGTGGATCGAGCTTGTTAACCTTCTCGATGATTGGTACACAGTGAGACCAGAGGAAATGAAGCCAATCTTGAGTATCTCGCTCAATGAAGGCGAGATTCATCGCCCCTTTCCGACCGTTTTGTATGGAAATGGGCCTGCAGGTTAAACTGAAGATTTATGCGCCTCTTAACTTGGACTAACGAATAATAGTCTCCGGAAACCAATTGTATCATACAGCAATGTTGTTAATGTTGCAAGAAAGGCCTGACAGGTTGCAAGGACAACAAAGACAAGTAAGCTAGCTTCTTCTCAATGATATCTATCTTGGACTGGGGTATTCGCTCCATCTTGGATTTCGACCATTCAGTGCATTTCTAAATGTTTCTGGCTAACGATCTTCTCGTTTAGAAATCAATATTTTGGCATGCCCGCCAGATATGTGCTATCTCTGAGTCAAATACACATCAGTAAGTCTATACCTCCACGTCTCTTCTTGATAATCAATTGCTAATCCAATTAGCGGCGAGTGGACAAATTCAATCCAGCCCATATGGATTGCGGGAAAGATCATGAGTCACCCGAGCGAACATCGAGCTATTTTAGATATACTGAATAGAATTGAACAAGAGACAGGTTGGGTGACAAGCTGGAGGAGAGAAGATTTGAAGGCCTGGTGGGGTGACTACGATGATTGAGACTTTTCTGCTACCACTAAATGGAGGCTTGTAGATTGTTGAACTCTGATGAGATGATAATTTGTAGCTTGCATCTTTCTCGGCCGCGGCGTTGGCTACTGTGCGAATGGAGTCAATAATTGCCTGTGCCCCAACTCTTTGCATCCAGATCGGTAATGACACGACCGCAGTTTCACACTCACGCACCCTGATATCAGAGTTATAATCGACTATCGTCGCTTCTGTTGACCCAAGAAATTGCTGATAACTTTTAACCAGAATAGTAGTTAGGATTAAGTTTCTATATAAAAAAGGTTTGTGCTTATATATCATCTGTCAATACACGCCTCACATAAGAGGTAATGGCTCTCTAATATGACTTACTAGTTCAAATTATTTCATCTATATCAGAATTCTTGGAGAATAACAGAAGAATATTAATGAACTTAAATAGAATTTGATTTAGCTAATTAACAAAAAAACAATAACACGCATACAAATTAAAGCAAAATGAAAAGCATTCCAACACAAACAAAGACCAACCAAAACAGAACTCCAAAGTAAATTTGAAAGGGAGAAAATAAATGTTAACATTAACTTTCCGTCCCTATCACTTATGCTACGCATATTATCAAGAATCGCTGCACAATCTCCTAAGTTGTACCCCCGTATGAATCGCGGGGTCCACCAGCCGCCTTCACGGCACGTCCGATACAAGCTTGTACACCAATTATTGTTTTTCCAGTGGCATGAAAGGACCAAGGTGCTTCCACATCCTCGGTCTTGAACTTCCATTCTTTCAATGTGCTGCATTTCTTTATATGTTTTTTCAGGCCAGCTCCATCTTCTCCGAGCTTTGACATATCCCAATTAACACCATAAATGCTGAAAGTGCCAAGGACAACTTTATAATGTGTTGTGCAGCTTTGTCCGGCCTCAGTTGACGACGAATTTTTCGTCGACGATAAATCGTCAGTATCATCGGAGTCCCGCATTGTGATTGTCGAGTCAATAGTCTCCGTGGTGATTGGTAGAGAGGTTGCAGTCAGTACATCTGAAGAGATAGCCGACGTTGGTGCTGCTGCTACGAACGAGCTGGCAAAGAAGAGTGCCCAAAAGTATGTTGGACTATAGAACATGCTGGATAAGATGTGCTGTGGATTCAAGGGGAACCTGGAACTTTTATGCAGATACAATACTTCTTTTTTCGAATTGTATGTAAGACTGAACAGCGGTGTGTCTGATGTTGGGATCAAATGCTATCTCTGAAAGAATAGAACAGAGGGGCGCAAGTTTCTAAGTCTCGGTGACTGGTCGATGGGTCGTGGAACTAAGTGCGCAAAACAAAAACAATGAGCGGATCAGTGAATAAGATTGAAGAGAGAACGTGAAGCTTCACTGAAGCGGTCGATGTGTGCGAGGTGAGTTGATGTTTCGGAGTGAGTGACTTGGACGCTTTAAGTACTCAAGTGATAAAAGAAAAATGATAACAGAGCCATCTTCGTTTACATCCATACCAGGAATAAAGTAAATTAGTTGGGTATGGATACAGTTACAGCAAATCCCAACGACCGTCCCACGCCACGGCCAGATTCTCCGGCTACTCACAATAGAACGAATTCTATCTTACAGTGTGATGCGGACAGTCGTGTTGAACAAGTGTGTGGAAACATTTGGCTATACAAATTTTGTACACTTTCAGCGTGTTTGATACTGATATCGCTCTGTTCCTTGTTTGTATCGCCTTTTCAGCCCAACGTCTGAGTTTCGTCTTTGCATTCAAAAGATGCGAATGTCGCTCATCAAGGGAGCGCAATAATTTGAGCCGCTTGAACACTTGTCCTCGGGTCTCCATCAACTCGGCTTTGGATGGATTTACTTGTCACTGCTAAGATTGCCTTCTTTCGATTCAAGCGGTGAGATAGGAGCCAAGTGTTTCGTTTTCTGTCCTAAACTTGATAGGTCGGTATCCGCAAAGCCGGTGCCTGAATCCTACGCGCGGGTCTTTTTAGGCCGTGCACTACGTAGTGACAAGGAACGTTTTACTGGGCAATATATACTTAATGCTTGAAGGAATGTCTACCTTCGGCATTCTCGAGCATTTCTTATGAAAACAGGCTTGATGTAGCGATCGGACCAACGCGTGCTTCATGGGATGGATTTATAATATCTTATTCTTATCAGAAAAGAGATATCATATTAATTAATAAAAAGACAAGATATAAATTTCCAATGGTTTAAAATCTTACTATATTTTACTCTCTTTTTATTTACTGATTAGTTAATCAATCTATTAACCTAAATTTGAAAATATTTTTTCGAGATGTTATTGAGATAATATAAATCAAAACCTACTGTTTAAGTAATTAGAGAGCTATTGTTCAGAGTAATCTAGAAGCTTGACCTGAAATGATAAATGTCTATAAAAAGAAATCTATATTTTATAGAGTTATATATCAGAAAGAGGTTTTGAAGATTATAAAATAGAAAATATATCACGAATAATCTGATATATACTCAGTACTAATCAAGATATATAATTGGTTTTAATTATATTAAAATATGTCTCATTACTTAAGATATCATCTAGATTCTCCCGGAATTTACTTTATACATTTTCCATCGTAAAATCTTGATAATAAAATTTAGAATAATGCAAGTAAAAGAAATCGAATGTATTATGAAACTGCCAATTTTATTTTCTAATCTCAATTCTATGTTTAGTTTTTCAATATTGTGATAACAACCGCATACTCATTTTCTGTTAGCAAATGTTCTTCGCGTAAGAGGCAAAATCTCCATGATCCATTCAAAAATACGACGGCAGCCCAATAAAATAACCACAAATCATAACCTTGTGCTATGACATATCTTGATAACTAGCTCGTAATCTATACAGATTCAGAATTACAACATCTTTGAATGATTTATATCTCCTGTATCGAACATGTTTGAAAGCCAGGGTTGTTTCGAGTTTCCAGCTCGTGGAGCTTAGTGGAGTTAAAGTTGTCAACCCATTTGATCAACATACGAGAGCAGTGTTCTGTGTGCTCCAACTTTGACTCGCTTAACGAGGATGTAATCACAAGATTTTGGTGAGAACCAGTAGTGAACCTGATAAAATGCTTAGATATATAAAGTTAGGCGAGAAACATCTCTGACTGACCTATGCAAACGTTGCCAGACTATAGCACAGTGTACAATGTGCTCTCGAATAGTTGTATAGTACATTTCGAAGCCAAGGTCTAATGGGTCTATTCTTCCGGACCTATTCTTGTTCTGAAAATATTCCCAAGGGCCATGGTCGTTATACTCTTGAAGAGATGTAGAGTCAAGACATTCCCGAGGAACCCAACTGACAGCCAGAGGATCATAAATACAATTATTTTGCTGTGCATCAGCGGTTGTATTGCCGCAGGTGAATGTTCGAGACTTGAGTACTGGTTGTTTATCCCGGTACTGGAATGTGCTGTAGATAACGACAATTGAGATAGAAAAGAGACAAAATAGGGTAACGGTGTCGAGGGCGCGTCTTATATATTGACGTTTGTTCGGAGAAAATTTTGCTTCACTTTCCGAAGACCTTCGCAGAAGAGATACGGCGGACTGGTCAACTGACTCATCAGTATCCTCCGATACAGTTCGAAGGGACATAACTTCGAAATGGTATAAGCTATTTGAGTAATGAGGTTCTCTACACTTAAAGCATCTCAAAAGAAAGCAAGAGTTGGCTCGGCATACCTTGATACGAGCTGAAGACTTAAAGTCTTGCAAACAAACAGCACGGCGCCAAAAATGCCGAAGGCTATACAGAAAAGTAGCTTAAAAGTTGAAAGAGACGGTCAGAAATAGAGGGCGAAAGGGTAGAGGTGGAGAGGCTGAGTGTGAAACGAGATTTCAGAGCCAGTAGCGTGATGGCAGATGGTTTATCAGTAGAAAAGCTTATAGCAGTCGGTCAGAAGGTAGCGGTGATTAACTGTAAAATCTGTTGTGATACCAATCCGATAGCCTCACTTTGGTTATATACGACCTTTGAACAGAAACGTTCCGGGCTAGGAACAATATAGTTTGCATCATTTTTATGATCACAGAAAATTTGAAAGAAAAAAGATACCAGGATGTATCATTCGTTGGCTCGTATTCTGGCTTAGATCACTTAATTTAAGGTTTGAACCACACCCCCCCTCCCCCAAGATAATCGATTATTGATTGATATCAAGAGAACTCATATAAAACATCAAGACGATATCAAGGGAATTGATAGCATAATAGTAATTGCCTTAAGTGCTAGATAGATGAATTAATCAATTGCTTTCATACAATCTGTTACACCAACAACGTGGTAGGCTGAAACTTGTCAAAATCAAGGTAGGTCAGGTTTCTAATCCTAATTATATTCGAAAGTGAATCAAATGCAACATTTGAAGCTGGATAAGTGCTCTATTAATTGAGCTGTATTGAGTGAGCCCGTTCGTGAAGCTCCAGCCCTAATGATCTTATCAATGAATTGTTGAAGTTATATTATGATTGAGAAAGTTGAAGGGGTGATCGGTTCCGGGGTGGTGATGGATTAGGGGTAATTTCAAACTAGCCCGTGCGTTCAGGCAATGCACCATCTTGGTTACTATATTGAGCTCTAGTTTCCTGGAAAGAAAACTCTATGAAATCGCACACTTGTTCACTCAGCCAACTCTGGGATTTAAGTTTTAAGCCTCCCCGTTAGCCGACAGAAATAAGGTGGGACGTAAAGGTAGTGTTTCCCAGAGATTAGTCAATAAAATAGAGTATAAAAGATCATCTTTTTAATACCTTTTCCAGAGTAATACAATGCTATATTAGTCATGCAACCTATCTTCTCCGATGACCTCTTGCATACTATGGAATCTGTACTCTGTTATAGAAATTGAAGTTCTACTGAAATCTACTCAAAGCTTATTCTAACAATGAGCCTTAGGTAAGATTGTAAAGTTTGAACCCTTAGCCCTAGCTCAGATGAACTCCAATTGACGGGGTAGGTTTGAATTATCAAAAAGCTTGTATGATCCTCAAATAGACTTCCTGGTGAATCACGTTGGTCAAAACAGAAGTTTTTCATCCCCGGTGCTATAGTCCATATGATGATTATATATACAGGTACTCAGTAAAGCTGAACGAGTGTTTGATGAGATCGGTCTCCTGTCGAATTACAATCGAGAAGAGGGAGTGCTACAAAGGCAGCTCCTTCCCAAATTTCCAAACTGCTGCCACAAAACCTTCAATCCAAGTCAAATGGGGTGAGTGACCACTTGGGCATCTAATAATAGTTATGCTTACTCCAGGTCGAGAATTTTGGAGCGCAATCATGCCTTCCTAATAAACTGTAGGCAAGGCTAAGTCGTTCTCCGTGATAAAATCTGTACAAGGCAAAGCAGTATATGCATCGTTATGCTAAATTGTTTTCAATATCGGAGACGTCGTCAATGTTGATTCGTTTTTCTTAGCCTGAGCTTCGTCTAGCCCGTTAAAGAAGTACTTGGCACCCTCGACTGTAGAAGCAGCGCCATTCATTCCATGAGCCTGTCAATGGATTGTTAGCAATGCTTATATGTCTGAGGAGATTGCCATCGAGTGTTGGGTAAACAAAACTTACATGAAACTTGCAGTAGGGTGGAACCACAGGAGAACTTCCATCTTTTTGCTGAAAGAAGCCATTCACAGAATCACCAACAGGAATCAAGAATGCACAAGCATAGAAAATTCCAATGATACCACCAGAGAGACCACACTTCTTTCGAACGTTAGCTTGCAATTCTGGGATAACACAGGCTGTCGCCGTGAAACCGCCAGAGGAGTGACCAATAACAATGACGTTCCTTTCTCCTTTTACAATGAGATCCTGAAGCAGTTCATTGATGCTTACCAAATCGTCCGATGACTGTGGGTATCCACCGGCAGGAATATCTCCATCATAATCTGGGTTTGTAAGGTCCCCTACATTCAATTTCGTCAAGTCTGATGAGGGCAGCTGTGGGCAATATGACTCAATGCCAGCGCCTTTCAAAGCATCTTGGAAGGGTCGATATGGCTCTGGCGTATGGTAAGATCCATGGCATATGACAACCACAAATGATGAAGACATTTCTAAAAGATAGAAGGAGGTAGTCAGCTAAGGCTGAAGAAAGTAGATGAAGATGTTGAATGAAATGTTATTTGGGAGGGGGATGGGTCTACCTCATGGATAGACAGCCTTAGGCCTTAGGGTTCCCAACAGTTATACAGAGATACTTCTTTACATAATGGTATATTGCATATGCATGCTAAGCCAAATATTGCTATGAGCCATGAGCCAGTATCACCTGGAGTTCTAGTCTTGTGTCTGCATTTACCCTTGAGGCATTCGGTCACATGATATAAGAAATCTTCGCCAGGAGGTCCTCACCTCTACCAGCCAATAGAAAGGGGATCAGAAGTGGGTCTGCGTAAGCTCTAGACTACCACCTCCGACGTTAGTGGAATCTGGCCCCTCCCCTCCCCCATTCACGTTACACTGTACGATGTGTGCTTACGGCAGAGCTTCACACTTATGGTATTCAAGTAGTACTAATATTCATTGTCTGTTAACCGATATCCCTGTATCTTGCACAACCCTGTATCTTGCACAATTTGATTTATTAAACTAAAAATCGATATCAAATTCAAATATCATTATAATGATTTTAAAATTTGTATATTAGAATCTTATATTTATTAAAAGATAACATCAGGAATTTGAAAGATTTGAAATATTCAATTGAATATTAATCGATTTTGAATAATAATATTTTAAAATATTAATAATAAAATAAAAACCTATATTAGAGTAAATGTATATAATTGAAAAATAGTTTTTTGTATTTATTATTACTATTATTATTAATCAAAAGTTTAAAATTTCGAAAAATATCAATAATCAAGTTTTATATCAAGTTTTAAACTTTTATATAGTTTTAAAAAAAAGAAAAATAATTTAAAAATACTTTTTAAAATATAATAAAATATTTATTTCGAGATTTTAGAAAAAAAAATTGATATTTTAATTTAATTTATAAAACTATATTTTTATATATTAGAAAATATATAATATAATAATAATAATAATAAATAATATTAAAATAATATATTATTTAGAAATTATAATTAATTATATTATAGAGTAATATAAATAAGAAAAAATACTAATTAAAATAATTGATTTTTTTATTTCAATTGAAAAGTTTATTATATATTTTTTTTCAATCAAAATTATTGTAGTTCCTTTTTTAAAGAATTTTATTTCTAAAAAAAGTCTTTAAATTTTATAATATTTCTAAGAATTTTATAGTTTATATTCAATTTCAAATTCATTTTATAATATTTAATACTAATTATTAGTTTTAAATTTAAATTTAAATCAAGATTTTCTTTCAAAAAATATTTGAATAAAAATTCTTTATTATTGATTAGTTATATAATTTTAATTTTAAATATTAATATTTTTAAAATAAATGATTATATATATAAATATATAATAAAATATAGTATTTTATTATTTAATTATTAATATTAATATATAAATAATATATTATATAATTAAATTATATTCAGAATATAATTAATACTTAAGTCATAAAAGATTTTTGTTTTAAAACAAATTATTTATTAAAACTCTTATTATATATTAATATAATTTCGAATTTTTGATATTAAAATTAGCTTTTTTTGATTTCTTATATTAAAAGATCTTCAAATTTATAGAATATATTCTAAAAACAAACTTTTATTATTTCTATTATTAAATAAATTAATATATAATAATTTTATATTAATAGTTTTGATATCGAGATTTCTATTCAATTATGAATTATAATTATGATTTTATTATTTTATATAAAAGAAATAATATTATAGTATTCTTATTTTTATTTTTTATAGAATTCAATGATTGGTTGATTATATATCATTCTTAGAATATTATTTTCAAAAGAAATAAAAGTGTGCAAGATACAGGGTTGTACAAGATGTAGGGATATCGGTTAAAATATGAAGCAGAATTAGCTGCAAAATTACATCCGATGAGTTTGCTATGGACGAATATCGGTTTGCATCATTGGTGCATATCATCAGGATATATTTGCTGAATGCAAAGACAAGGAATTCCCAGAGTTATACAAATGCAATAGGATACGTGACTTGATTCTGATGAGAGGGAGTTGCGATAATCGCTACCGACAGTTTGGTTTCAGTGCGATTTTTTCAACGTATACATGTAACTCTCTCTAAAGTTGCCACCGAACATATATGGATTTTACAAACGTTTGCTGGGCATTAGATCTGCTTTGGTAATGAACTGTGCCAGACTTCCGCTTCATTGACTTTACGGGTATTGCGGGTATCATGGGTATCATCATGGATATTCTGAACGCAATTGGCTGTATAGGTAGATATGAGATTCAAGCATTGATTTATCGTATTGCTCCATGAATACAAAATTAACCTTGTGGGACTTAAATAACTTTTGTTGGCGAAGAAGTTTTATTTTTCCCGTTGTAGGCGGATAATGCGGACGTCGCAAGAGTCTTATATCTCACCTCCAACTCCACGTCCTTGAGACTTGTTCCATCTACACACACCTGCCAGCAGAAAGATTTCATTGAAAATGTCCAAAGATATTTTGCATGATGAAGATCACATACAATCCAGGTCTATCGGCGTCATCACCTGCAGCACGCGTCCTTCCCGCATCGGCCATTTAATCGCTCAGCATGTCATCGTCGAACTTGGCTCTCACCTCTCAAAACTCGGCAGAAATGATCTTCATCTGTCTTCCATTGACATGATCTCGCATCCGTTACCACTTCTCGATGAGCCGGGCATACCTTCTAAATATCCAGCAGCAAATCCAACTCCACATTACACCGAGGCACATACGCGTGATTGGTCACTCGAAATTCTCAAACATAGTGCCTTCATCTTTGTCATTCCTCAGTACAACTGGGGCTATCCGGCTGTAATCAAGAACGCTATGGACTATCTCTATCATGAGTGGGCTGGAAAGCCCGTGTTTGTCGTGAGTTATGGAGGACATGGTGGAGGCAAGGCCGCAGCACAGCTCGTTCAAGTATGTCAGGGGCTTAGAATGAAACCATTATCTCAAACTGTGGGATATCGGATTGATCCCGTGGAATCCTCTCAACTTTTGGAATCCGGTAAATTTTCGTCAGAACGACTACAAATTTGGAAATCTGACATTGTCGAAGATGAATTGCAAGCAAGATTTTTGGAACTTGTTAAATCGATGAAATAGCTTTACATGCATCAATTTGTCTTTGCAAAGATCTGGGATATAGATGCACACTATGCAGTATTCAAGTTTAGAAGAGAAACAATTGTATTTTGCTTTTGTAGATCGCTTTCAAGATCTTGTAATTCAGAATCGTTGCAGTTTCAACTTAGCTTGGCCTTGAGAATGCCACCGTGTGAAAACATTGCATTGAAAACTGTAGAGATCGAATAGCTTCAATTGTGTGAACTATGTAGAGATTAGAGAGTCAAGCTACAAAAAGAGTCTATATTAATGCCCTCTTTAGCCTCTTATCACGTACACCCTTGATTGAAGATAAGAGCAAAGAGTAGTTACATTGTACCCACGGGGAGAATGTAGAGATGTGACACGTAATTACGACTTAATGAAGTTGCGGTCGGACGAGAGATCCATGTCACTTCGCTAACCCCCGCATTCAATTTCCCCGATGTAATCTAGGGATTGGTACTCTCAAACTACAAACTTGATGTATCAATTGAGGACTCCTATTAATCCGACTTTTATTCCACTTTTGGTATAATGATTAACAAGTTTGTCCTTATGAATCGCGATCCGCCGAGGTTTCTCTAGCTAATGCACCCCACAATAGAAGCACGTCATTGACAACGGCAAATTCGACATGCCAATGTACTCGACCCTCCGATTGGCGAATGTACTTTTTTCTTCGGCATTATGACTTATTTCGAGAAGTTTGATCCGGAGCCCGAACGTATTCACTATATTTGCCGATCTATGGATAAGTGGTCAACATCTCCCAAGAGTGACATTCCGTTTAAATTAGTAAATAAAACTACAAATGCTTGAACCATGGAAATTACATAAAGCAGAGGCTGGCCAGTAATGGTCGTCATTTAGTATTCAACAATTCCCTTCCAAACGACTCATTTGAACTTTCAACTACCCTCAAAATGCGTGCCACACTCACATCCCTTATCACTCTATTTATAATTACACTTGCTGAAGCATCCGTTACTTGCGTCAAGGTTGGGGCGACAGCCAAGGCCACATGGACCAATTCAGCTGGGAAGACTTGCACGTGGACAGGAACAGTAGGAGGCAACTTTGGAACTAATACCGTCAACGCTGGAGAGTGAGTTTTTTGTTTCCAAAACTGTTCATATAAAGCATGCTGACCATTTTGAAAGCTACAGCTGCAATGGAAGATGTGGAGCAGGTTGCACTGGAACTGCCATTGGCAATTACTAGTATGTTGAAAGTTGAATTAAATGCAGCAACTTCAGTAGAACTTCTCATTGCTGACAAGAAAAACTTATAGCACACAAGACTGCTGGAACCATGACATATGCTCTTACTTCAACAATGCCTCAGGTGGTGCAAGGTATGATCTGTCATGTCTTCTTGTGTCTCATCAACAACTTACTAAATGAGGCATAGTGACGCTAATTGTGGTTCGGCATATACTGCGGCAGAAGATGACTACCTTCTTGGTGGAGTTGATGGATGTACTCAGACAAACCCCAGCATCTCAGCCGTTGTACCTACCACGAATCCTGTCTGTGCTTGATGCACATCATGCAAACTAAACAGGATGAACTTGAAAGAGGGTTATGGTTCGCTATGAAAAAATTAATAAATTCAAATTTGGTATCATGTCAATAAATCCATTATTCTCCAACAGGCTGCTATGCCTTCAAGCAAATTCCGCAGGCTTGTACTTTTATCAAACTCTCTCACACTCCAACAAAACAAAGGACTGACACCCGAACGGAGTGGGATTCAGCTTTCCCCTTATTATGGCTTTGGCTCTTCCTTTTGGCCACCCCCAAACATTCCTCCAACATATCCACCTGCGCTCTTAGCACCGCTTACCAAGCCAGAACCAGCACTCTGTGCGCCACCCAAAACTCCCTGTCCGGCACCCTTTGCATTATTGATGATTGGATCGCTGATGGCTGACGTGGGACCACCGTAGCAACCATCTTCATCTTTTCCATTTCGCTCCATCCTGTTTATGCCCTCTTTCCCAGCCAAGTTTCCAATTGGCGCTAGCAGACCATTCTCCCCAAGTTGATTACCGACAAGATTATGGACATCGTCTTGTATTTGGTCGATTTGTGATACGCCGGTGACTTTTGTCTTGCTGAGGGCATCTGTGATTATCATTAGCTAAAGACCGCTTATCGAAAAGTCTAGGGCGACCAACCTTTTGTCGCATATGATGCTTTGTTGTCTCCTTTTCCGAACCATTTCAAATACTGGTCTTCAATCCATGGCATCCACTTCTCATATTGATCGTTGTATGCCTCCTTTACCCATTCCGTATATGTTTGCTTTTTTCTTTGATCTTCGGAAAGACTCTCGTAGAACTGTTTCTTCTGTTCCTCCGTGTGCTCAGGAGCAGCCATACCTGTCGCGTTCTTTAAGGACTCCATGATGTTATTCTAAGATAAGAGCGGGTGTGGCTCGTATTATTTGGGGCTTTGCGTAAGAGTGTTGAAACTGGGGTATGGTTTGATACAGGTAACAACGACAGATAGTGATAATGTGTTTTAATATGGCGAAAATTATTAAAACCGATTTGGATTGCAGTTCAAGATATAATGAGGAATTCATTAAGAGCCCAAGGGTTCAATGACGTAGGTTGTCATATCCTGGTCGCCTTGTGATTCAGTGTTCGAAATCCTGTTTTGCCATTCAGGGATACAGGGTAATCAATCAACTCGTTAATCAAGATTCCGTGGGAACGGCGACGAATCAATCTCCATGAAGAATACCCAACCCCAGGCGACAGCCACATGAAGAGAACATTTCTGGTTCGCAAATGAGATCTAGAACATCATGTGGATATGTAGCAGGGAAGACAAGAAGCGTTTTGCACTAGCAAAAGCCACCACAGTTCCATCCTCAACGAACAAGCTAACCAGCAAATCCTCACGGGGACCTTCGATATGACATTTCTCATTTCTTAAACTGAGGTCATATTTTTGGATTTCTTGGTGTTGGAAAAAAAGGGATCTTAATTGCGCGTCTGCATGTGGCCAAAGAAGTATCTCGAGTAGCTAGGTACTGGTAGGTTGACTCGTAGGTTAGAAAAAGCCCAGAAACAAACCCCATTGATTATGGATGGTTGTACATTGTATATCCGCCGACCCAAAACGCCGTGAGGATAAGCCCGTGAACGCCTCGATATTTTCTCATTACCATCCACCTCTGAATCCTCTTCCCCTGCCCCTGAAACCACCTCTTCCCCCACCGCGCCCTCCATATCCACCCCCTCTGCCGCCGTATCCACCATCACCATAACCTCCATCGTACCCTCTCGGCGCCGAATTATGATCCATGTCATCAGCACTAGGTCTTGATCTCTTCATCTCCTTCGGGAATGCGTCGTATGTCTTCCTCATTTGCGCATAACCTAGATGCATTTTTCCGTAGAAATGGTCCGCCAATCTTCGATCGTTATCCAGCCGACTCAAATAAGCTCCGCAAACATCACAAACTTGTAGCTTTTGATGTCCTGAAGGCCCGCTAGTATCTGACAATGCCTTCAGCTCCTTTTCTTTCTCCGCCTTTGTCTGCATAGCCTGTCTTATACGGAAGAACTCTTCATAAGCGCGCGATACCTCCGATTGTTCTCCCAGAATCTGAATTTCTAATAGACCTGACTCGATGGATTTCGATAGATCAGATATTTGTTTGAGAAGGGCGTTTGTTTGTCGAATTTCATCGGGTGTTTTCTCCAAGCGTCGCTGTGCGACGTCTATCCTTCTATTACATTCATCAATGTATTTCTGTAAGTCGCGCATATAATCGTATTCGAAACCCCATTTCTGTTTTTGAGGAGGTGCTGCAGTTTCAAACTCTGTCTTTAATGGCTCTGAATGGATCTTTGGACATGGTCCTAGATCTTGTTTCGTGTTTGTGAAAAGATCGTGAGGACAGGTACCGACGAGAAAAGAGCGGCAAATCTTTGGATCTGTAATTGAAAGCTGTGCTGCGCGAGAGGATGCTCCAGCGCCCATAAGCTGCTCTGTCAAGAGGGTTGTGTTAGTAAAATGATGAAATTTTGATGCTAAAAGACGAATTGAAATTGTATTCGACAAAGCGCAAACATTTGAAGAGTTGGGATGGGAATTATGACTTACCAAGGAGCTTTCTCTGTTCTGCGGCCATATTTCGAGGTATATGATCGTATTTGTTGTGGTTTGACTTTTGGAGATCGATAGAAAAAGGTAGAGACAAGACAAGGCAAGGCTCGGAGCGGCGGGCAAAACGGAACACGCCGTGATAAGGCTGCACATTCCAACTAAGGTTACTTCGTCAGATTCAAGAGTTCCACGAGTGCTTGTACCTACCTATGTAATGACCCTTCACAACTCAATGAAGAGCTTCTTGACAATATAGCTTTGAATGCCATGAATCCAATGAATAAATTTTATCATGTTTTCTTCCTTTTATTTAGTTTATTATCTAGAGGAGTAATCGCATCCTCGGATTATCACGAGCAACTTCTTCTACGACCCCTTCATCCTTCATCGTTACTAGCTTCATTCAACTTCCAAAGCAACACAAGCCTCGAATCATTCGAACAACAAAATTTTCGCTATTTTCCGAGATCATTGGGGCAAATTCTTCAGTATGCCAATACACGAGAATTACATTTGAGGTTCAGCCTTGGTAGATGGGATGCTGAAAATTGGGGTGCAAGACCATGGGGAGGTACAAGGGAAGGCGGAACAGGTGTAGAGCTTTGGGCTTGGGTAGAAGCAACCACTGATGAGGAGTATGATGCACCTCTTTGAAAAAGAGATTCAACTAACACTTTCTTAGGGCTGATGGTCGCTGGTTAACTTTGACCAATGCATTGTCTGGCCTTTTCTGTGCTTCTCTTAACTTTATCGATTCCACAAGAACAACGAGGCCTGTCTTATCATTTCAACCAGTTGATGATCACTCAAACTCCACATTAGCGAACCTACACTTACTGCATGGAACTCTGCCTCGAGAGGTTGTCTGCACAGAAAATCTGACGCCTTTCTTGAAACTCTTGCCCTGTAAAGGCAAGGCTGGTATTTCGAGCTTACTCGACGGACATAAACTATTTGATGCTTCATGGCAGAGTATGTCGATTGATGTGCAACCTATATGCACAAACGATTCGAGTGACTGCCAACTTCAGATTACACAAACTATTGATATGGTATTAGATATCCAAAGATCCAGGCGCCCGAGAGGTTCGTAAATCGCTACCCAATATGATCAACGTGCTAAATTCACCCAGACAATCCAATTCCACGGCCTGTACAATTTGAAGATTTGAAATGCGATACATCAAAATCATACCATGCTGAGGATACTTGCTTTCCACTAGATAACGCCGCTGAAGAGGAGGATTGGAGTTTATCACAAATTTTTGGTCACTCGATGAAGGGATCTTGTCCACTAGCCGATAATGTTGAAGACTCCGTTTGCATAAATGTTCCTCATGCCCGCAATGTCTTCACTTCTGGAGGAGCAGTTGAGCATAAAGATCCCTCTGGATACAGCCGGTGTTTTCGAGTACAACAAGACAGCGACTTTGAGATGGTATTACCTCGACAAGATATATACGAGAAAGCCCCATTGGAGCAACCCCTGCTGTATGCCGAACGCTCATTCATCGGATATGGGCAGGAACGCGGTGGTGTACAGGCCATACTTACAAACCCTTCGCCAACAGATGCAGTTGATTTTGTATATATGGAGTCGCTCCCTTGGTTCATGAAGGTTTATCTCCATACTTTAAAGGCCGATACTAACGGCAGGTATGAAGATGTCATACAAGAGATGTTCTATCGTCCAGCCCTGGATCGTCAGAGAGGGACCCAATTGGAAGTGCGGATGCGCATTCCAGCCGATTCTACAGTTATTTTGACCTATGACTTTGAAAAGGCCATTCTTCGATATACAGAATATCCTCCGGACGCGAATCGTGGATTTGATGTTGCCCCGGCTGTCATCACCATTGGAAATGTTAGTATTCGGACCACGAGTCTTTTGCTTCCACTTCCAACACCGGATTTCAGCATGCCTTATAATGTTATCATCCTTACCAGTACTGTAATGGCATTGGCGTTTGGAAGTGTTTTCAATCTTTTAGTCAGGAGATTTGTTGCAGCCGATGAAGCTGAAAATTGGGACGTCAAGGCTCTTAGGATGCGTGTTTTAATGGTTGTGCAGAAGATACTGGCTCGGATAACAGGAAAAACAAAGTTTGACAAGGAAGAATAGGTCATGACATGATACCCACCACATAATATGGATTTTTTTCATTCTACTTGATTCTTTTTGAGAAGAAGACTGCCGTGGATGAATCATCTTGAGTCTGAAGAATTTACAGCTGTATTTATAGGGCCATTGCTTGTACCCCGAAGGTTTTCCGCTAAGTCTAGACTTTTCGTTCGTCAAAGTCAACACTTAACATGTAGGCGTTTTCAACACCGATTATGCTTGATTCTCGAGCTTCTCGCCACTTGTTACTCTTACTTTGACCACACCATATAGACTCGAACTCGGTTCACATCTCCTAGCCACTGCTCTAGTCACGGGCGCGGTGTTCTATCATGCTTCGACACTAATAAGTTCAGAAATGACACGTGCCATGATGTCGCCTAGATCTCCATCTGGCACGTGCCTCACGCAAATCCAGGAACGCAAGTAGGGTATATGAATCTCCGACCACCAGTGCACCAAAGCTTTTCCAAGAACGAATCTGTCTGTAAATACCGGTGTGCTAACAACTCAAATCCACGTCATGCACAACCTCGACTGATAGCTTCCTTGTCTTGTGATCAATTCTTCACCTCAATTTCCCCAGTCTCCCTTGATGAACACAATGCTCCAGCGCGAAAGCACAATCTTAACCTTTTGAATTGGCAACAACGAATTTTCTGTTTAGCTAAGTAAACACTAGGTACGTGATGCATATTTTACTTCATCGGTTTTTTATTGCGATCGTGGTGGTCTAGATCATACGGCATTCACCGTCAACGAAGTCGCTGGCGCTTCATCTCAACTAGACATGTCTATTTGTGATTTAAGCTTACAACCTGTTTCACTTGGTAAACTTATGGGAGCAAATGCTGTACTTTGTCAAGCTCTCACAAACCTTTACCACTATTCTTGCTGTGTGCGTCAAGAGTAAAACTACAACGCCTAGTGCTTGCTACGCAAAACTTGTGAGCAATATTTAAGCACAGGAAGATCAACTATTTAGTTTAAAATTGAGCAGCATTCAATATGAATTGATTGATTTCTCAAAGAAGAAAGAGTACTCAATCTACCAAGCGAATCCCTCTCACCAAAAGATGTCGATTTCACGTAAAATCTCCTTTGTTGCATCGCGTCTAGGAATACTGAGAACCTTGCTCAAGTTCTATCGATCTTTATTTGTAGAGTAACTTAAACCCTTTCATCAACATCACTCTTTGGAAGAAAACTATAATCATTGTCAAGGTCATGTGTAGTTGCCATCGGCAATCATGATGCCAAGAACTCTGTTCACCAATCTCTCAATATGTTCCCCTTGCATTCTATCCGCGTGCCGGTTAAATAACCATATTTCCTTATCGCAATAACCGTGTAGTTTCATGTTCTCCATGTTCAGGAGACCTTATTGTAACGTTACTACAATATCGGTACATCATCCACAGATGGCACAAAGTCTATGGATAAATGAGCACAGATATATACAAACAATACAATTGAAAATCATTCCCTATCTAACTCGCCGCATTTGGTAAGCTAAGCTATCATGAAATCCTCATCTGTAGATCAACTGGACTTTTTTAGGGGCACGCCGCTACTACAACCTGCCTTCCTTATATTTCTTTATCTGCTATACTTCTCCTTATCCATGTCAGAATTTGCTGGATGTATGAAATAAGGCCGGTGTCGTTCCTGGTGGTAGGCGGTTGATAAACTTCATAGCCAACGAGTGACAATAACGAGAAATGCGGTTACATATGACCTCCACATCTGTTCTGAAGGTTTCAGTCATTCATTTCATCATAAGTACTTGCTCAATTTGGAAAGCGTTTGTTCTTACCATGGCTTCGTGCAAGCTGCGATGTGTGAGCCGTACCAATCGGGAAGTCGTTTGTGTCATTTAGAAGTGAGTGGTGATATTTTTTTCATACTTCATTGTTATCCAGTCATCCGTTAATATCAAGTGGTAACGTTAAATGAATTTTGATAAATACTGTCTGTATAACTATTAAAGGGAGGAGTTGCTTGAGGAGAAACAAAGCATCTATTTCTTCATCTTCTTCATCTTCTTTACTACTCTTTACTACCATTTTTACGGCTCAGTGGTTATTAAAACAACGAGTACAAGTTAATACTCTTCACTACTATATTGACTCTCGTGTTTCTACTCCTTCATCTAGCCGAACATGATTCTTATATTCATGCAGTACTTTTTGCTGATTTTGACAAATCTTGATATCTTGGTGTTATCCGCAGCAATTCCAGCTAGAAATGACGAGTCAGTCACTGCGGTAGGGTATACTGGGGGATATCACAATGCAGCTTACTTTGTCAATTGGTAAGTCTTTCCAGATAGAACTCCTTCCCGGATAATGTCAAACATGACCTCTAATTTGTTTACTACAGGGCAATCTATGGACGAAACTATCAACCTCAACAATTGCCGGCTACTAAGCTGACTCACGTCCTTTACGCATTTGCTAACCTTCAAACGGATGGTACAGTGTATGTCAAACTTTTTCTATGGTTGCCGTAAGAATTGCTCTAACATATACTCAGCTACCTCTCCGACACATATTCTGACCTTCAAAAACATTATCCTACTGACTCTTGGAATGATGTCGGAAACAATGTTTATGGATGTATCAAGCAACTTTATTTGCTTAAGAAAAAGAACCGTCAAATGAAAACTCTTTTAAGTATTGGTGGCTGGACATACTCTACGAATTTCGCTGCTGCCGCTAGTACAAATGCAACTCGTACAAAATTTGCCGCAACCGCCGTGCAATTTGTCCAAGACCTTGGATTTGATGGTATTGATATTGACTGGGAGTACCCGGCCAATGATGTCGAAGCTAGCAACTTCGTTCTTCTTTTGCAAGCTGTCCGCTCGGCTCTCGATGCATATGCTGCGCAGCATGCTCCTGGTTACCATTTCCTCATTACTGTTGCGAGTCCTGCTGGACCAGAGAAATACAATATTCTCCATTTGGCAGATATGGATAAATATCTTGATTCCTGGCACTTAATGGCTTATGATTATGCTGGATCCTGGGATAATGTCACAGGCCACATGGCAAATTTAAATCCTAGTGTGGACAATAATTCAAGCACTCCATACTCGACGCAAAGAGCGATTACGGATTACATTGCGAAGGGTGTCAGCGTATCCAAGATAATCATGGGTTTGCCACTGTATGGAAGAGCATTTGAAGGTACCACTGGGATGGGAGTAACATTCAATGGAATTGGTTCTGGGTCATGGGAGGCTGGAGTTTGGGATTACAAGGATCTGCCCAGAGCTGGTGCGTCTGAATACTACTCTTCCGATGTTGTAGGAACCTACAGCTACGATAATTCCACGAAAGAGCTTGTTAGCTATGATAACGTCAAGGCAATTCAAACAAAGACGGAATACATCATGAGTAGTGGACTTGGAGGTGCAATGTTCTGGGAGTCAAGCGGGGATAGGAATGATAGCAAAAGTCTCATTTCAACAACGGCAGGAATCTTTCCCTCATTGGACCAGACTCAGAATCTATTGACCTACAATGCGAGTGCATATGCAAACCTGGCAGCTGGCATGCCTGGTGTGTAATCTTTCGACAAATAAGGATTGATTTAGTGGATCTGGCTGGAGGCAAGGAAGGAGAGATACCTGTGAATGTTGATACAATCTGGAGTATATATGGCGTTGCTTTACTATTATCGTACACTGGGAATTCGATGGGGTTGTTCTATTGTTGTCGTATTTGAGAGGATAGTTGATTATATTACAAGCAAATAAACTAAGAATTAGGTTACTATGTCCCGACTTGGAGAGTGCTCGCAATTCTCAAATGTCGTAGTTTATTTCTTTTTCAACCCGAGCCAAACCAAGCCACAAATAGCTATAGACAACTATGCCCCCAACTCACCCATCATGCAGAATAGGTTGAAGCAAGTGCCGTATCACGATTTACTGAACAATGCATTGTATAAAGCTATTTGATCCCACAGATCAACTGTAACACAACCGATTATTGTTAATCGCTTGACGCCGTGTCGCGTATCAGCCCCTTTTTAGTTATCGAACCCAGCTCCCATCTATGATGCCAACTTTGCTCATCATTTTATGTTGCATGTATTTCACCCTTTCATGTCCTAATTTGCGATTGTGCATTCAGAATCTCATTTCTCGAACACCTTTTACAAGTAAACTCAGGTTGCGAAACCAAACTAACGACATAGCTTTTAAATCTTATTTGGATCATCATAAATATCTATCGAGTATTTATTTTTATTACTCGTCAAGTTGTGTCCAGTGTTAGTACGAGCCAAGTCCTTACCCCCTCGTATGAGCTCTATTCAACATATGGGTGGATTTAGTTCAAGAGTGTATTGTGAAATTATGCTGGACTTATTGTCGATGATGGAAGATATCCTGATATTCTGAAAATCACAGACCCTATCAACAATGCTGATTAAGATGCATGCACATATCTTTGAGGCCTTTTGCTGGTGTTACAACGAAACGAAAATCTGAAATGCAACAATGATTCATCTTTATGCTATTAGTCAGTCATGCTGTTCTTGCGTCACATTTTGGGTACCCCGGTATTGAAACCCTATCACTCTCTAAAATTATACAGCAAATAATGTGCAACTGTTTGTTGCTGTGGACATTCTATGATGCAATCAGTCCTTTAAATGCTTTCGCTTTAAATACTCAACCCACATTGTCATTGACAGGTCGTGCTGATGCAGTGTAGGCAATAGTATTTCCCGTAATCCGTATACAGGCTAGTTTAATGGTGCGTATCAATTTTTTTCGAAATACATACATATATAATATAGAATTCAATATCTGTTGGTATCACCATGGGGATGGTGAAGACAATATAGTACTATGGTTCACACTGTTGTAATATTGCTTGAGGTTCTAAAAGCTAGGGCTACGATACGTCTATACTTAAGTGCCGAGGCACTAGCGCTTGCGCTAGTGCGGTCACATGATCCCTGTCCCGACAATATCACTGAAAGTA